CAAGTCTCAAAATGTAAGGAGGGTATCTTGAAAAGCACTAGTTTTAACCAAGGCCTTTTTGAATTCTACCCTGTTTTGCACACTGCATTCTGCTCTTTGTACAAAATAAACTGTCAAAACGCAGAATTATAACACAAAGTTGTCACAAAACACTGGGGAGGGACTCTTCATCAGGGACTGTAGCGGCAGGACAAGGGGTGATGGGTTCAAACTGAAACAGGGGAAGTTTAGACTTAGATAAGGAGGAAGTTCTTTACTTCACCTCTTTACTGGTGAGGCACTGGAATGGGTCGCCCAGGGAATCTATGAATGCTCCATCCCTGGTGGTGTTCAAGGCCAGGTTGGACAAAGCCTTGGATGGCATGGTTTAGTGTGAGGTGTCCCTGCCCATGGCAGGGGGTTGGAACTGGATGATCTTAAGGTCCTTTCCAACCCTAACTATTCTATGATTCTATGAAAATAAAATACACCAGTTGGTAGTAGAACAAATTACAGACGGTAATGCACAAGTTACTCTGCCCATACAGACAGGAGGCAAAATATAAGGGAACTCTTAATTCAAACTAAAATGGAAAACAATTTTGTATTTTTTACACTGTAATCAATAAAGCAGTGACTATTCTACAAATTCTTATACCCCAAAGTTTGCAGACAAAAGCCCCCATCTAAGCACACACACACACACACACACACACACACACACAAATACTTAGCTGTTTGTTAGTAACAGCACTTTTTCTCTTAGGGAGAAAGCAATGAGAAACAAAAGTCAGTCCTTAAACCTGAGTTGAGACTTTAACAAGTACACACATGTCCATCAAAAGGAAAGAATTCGGGAAAACCCCTGTGCATCTTACTGAAGCTGTCCAGTTTATTTCTACTGCTCATTTTAACCAAAATGCCACAGCCTTTGGCAAAGCTCAGCCTCAGCTTCCTTAAAGGTGCAATTATTTCTGCAGTCCTGAAGTCAATGGAACTCCCAACTCACAGAAATCCCCAGGTGCACAGCACTCTGCAGACCTAAGGATTGAGGAATGTTACTACTCCCAAATTGCCATGGCAAGTTTGTCAGAAAAAAAAAAACAAAACCGAAATCTCACAACCAAAACAACACACTTTTCCAGTGGTTTATGGGTAACAAATATGGAAAAATAACTAAAAAGTCCTATGTTCCAAATGGAGAGGGGAGAGAAGATCTCAAAACTGGTAAGAGTACACAGCCAGTCTTCTATTTATACATCTAACATTTGGAGTGTGAGCGAACAGGGAAGAACTGTTCCTTCTTCCAGCAGCTCAAAAGGGCATAGAGAAACTCTCCCTCTTTGGACAGCATGTCCGTCTCCACTCATTTCAACCTGAAGTAGCATGCTGTCCTTCCAGGTTTAGAAACAACGTAAAACACAACACATAACCCCCCACTCCCAGGCTGTCATTAGGGCATCAGCTGCTACCACCCCTCTCCTCAACTGCAGGTGCCCCTACCTAAGCCTCCTGGCTCAGCCCTGCCCTGCCCTGTCTGTGGTCTCTCCCAGCCTTGGAGCAGAGGCAGTGACCCACTACAAGGCTATTACTCAGAGGAGGAAAGTATCCAGAACGTCTGGTTCCAGGTCTGGCAGGGGTTTTGTTAACATTTTTATGGTATACTTCAGTTCGCCTCGTTCTTCCTCTGTCTGGGTCAGTACAAACCAAGGCAAAATGAAACAACTCAGGCACAACTTGCCTGAATTTTAACAGAACACAGGGGCCCCACTAAGAAATTGTAATAACTATTTTTATTTGCATGCCCTGCCCACAATAAGCCTGGAAACCCATTGTTCAGGGTGACAGCTTTCTGTTAAGCAGCAAGGAGCATGGCAGGCTGGGTTATTGCATTGTTACTGACTGCATTTTCATCACTCAAACTGTGGTCCAGTAGTGCCCAATTTAACAATACCAAAAAAGCCACTTTTAATCCTACATTTTCATAACATCCTATACAAAGAATAAACCCAAACCCTTATTTTAGGCCCACTTCAGAAAAATAACAAACATGCCTTGCTAGCTTACCAGGTCTTCCATCTCTTTTTTTTTCCCCTTACTTTGACCCTAAACTAACCCTTTTCAACCACTGCCCTTGATCTAAACTATGTGATTAGCTTTCTCAGCAAACCTTGTGTTCCACTACACAACAGCTTCCAAGAAGGTACTAATATAAAGAAAAATACCTAAATAATGAGTCAGGCTCCCAAATTACAATATATAGCCTAAACTCTGTAGTTAAATTTAAAAAGCAGAGCAATCTTCTAAACTCCATTGCTTGTTCCCTGGACAGCAGCATCCTACCTGTCAGGCTGACAGTGGTAAAGGGACTGCTACTGCCTCCTTTACAGTCGCCTCTTCAAGAAACACACCTCAGAAAGTAGTTAGTGTAAAGCTACTTAACACAGTAAGGAAGTTTCTTGCACAGGACTTGTATGTCATAGCTTCTGGCTTACAAGTGCTCAGAATTCCTTTTTTGGAGTTATGTATTTTATCAGGGTCTCTTACCCCTTAACTTTACTGATCGTATCTGTCCCTTGTAATCTTTTGATTCTAGAAGGTTGCCCAAAACAACCCCTACAACAGGGAAAGGAAAAAGAAGAGAAAAAGGAAAAATAGAAGAAGAATGTAAAACCAAATTCTTCTCACCTCATTGCAAAGTTTCACCAGTCCTAACATCTGATCACTCATTTCCCACTTACTGATCTTCCTGTTAACTGGTTACTTGCAGCATTTGCTTTCCATGCAGATAGAACTCCACTGGGTTCCTTGACAGTGGGTGGGGTACACAGAAGTAGCCAGACAACTCAGAGGCACAAGTCTGGAAAGAAACCGAACCAACCAACCAAAAAGAGCCCTCTTTGTAACTAGCTTAGCACCACCATTTTTATCAGATTTAAATGCAGTTATTCCCAATTCTCCCATTCTAACTGATCTCTTGCTGTTATCTCCTGCAGTTGCACTAAGAAAAATTCCTATTTTTCTAAGGTTGATCATATCTTAATAGCATTTTTCCAGGGCCTTTATCAGCACTGGCCTCATATTTCTCCTGAAGTCTGATGGGCTATTGATTCCTGGGTACCTGCTGTGGTTTGGGGTTTTTTAACACCGTTCCTAATTTTGGTTGTTTTTTACAATATATTCAGCTCAGGCACTGCCAGGTACAATGTTCGTAAGGAGATCAAATTTTACAGATATTCGGTCATGAATACAGATGCTCTATGAAATTCAAAGTGTTTAAACAAATACAACAGGATTCCTTCCTGTGCTTCCATGGATGGTTAAGAAGCAAAGACTGCTAGCAGTTAATTGGTACAAAAGCTTCTTGTGTAAGGTGACACAATGCAGTGAAATATCAGGTCATTCTTTAGACAAGATGCAGTGCAATATTCAAACCTATCTCCAGCTACCTAACCAGAACACAGTGCATGGCACAACGGAAGGTGAAGTTAGGGAACGTGTGGGTAGGAGCCACGCTTGTCAAGAGTGTACATGAGACACCCACAGAAGCACCATCTATCAAAGATACCTTTAGCAGCTCTGCAGTAGCTGCAGGGAACAGATCTCCAGCAGTGGGCTCAGAGTGCAGCTCTGAAACCTGGGCCATCTCTTTGGCTTTTTAGAACAATACATGTCTAACACAAACCGACCTCACAACAGCCTCCCAGGTTGTAACACACCTCAAGTTTTAATTAGGAAGACCCTTAAACCAAGGGTAAATAAAAGCCACCTTCATTAAAAGGGATGTAATTTAGATGAAGGGTAGTGAACTGCATATGAGGAAGTAAAAACCTCACCCCCAGCATAAGTGTATTTAAAACATTGGTTGAGAGTGAATTTGAAGTGGGTATTTTTCTAAAAACCAATGATAGCAAGGTCCTGATGGTATCCAGCATTTTCACCCTGAAGTTGTATAAGCATCACCTTTTATTTTTCCTCTTGGTTTAACAAACGCTTGGGCAGAAGTGCTGTGAACTGCCAGATCTTCCCAAGGAGAATGCTCCTGGTGTAGCCTGACCCTTTAAGTATTCATCCATACCCTCAAATACAAGACTGGGGAATCCAGTTTTATGTTTATGTAGTTTTGTCTGCCTCAGACAGGAGAAGAGAGAATCATCATTCCCCAAAGCATTATAAAATACAACCTGAAAAGCCAGACACAGCCATATTGATTTGCTTCTTGCTGAGTTGGGATGGGGTTTTTTTAACAGAATACACTTGAGAACTCTTCGTACTCCTAGAAAAATCCAGTGAAATGGTTATTACAATAACAGTTTCCATGTGGGAAAATAAATCTGACACATTTCAGAAGAATTAATTAACAATTATGTTTTTATTGCTTGCAAATTCATCTTACAGGCATGCTCAAAATGGAACCTCTTGCTGATTCTTCCTAAACTGCATACCTCAACTGTGGATCATCACATCAGCCAAGCAATAGTTTCAGTAGGAAAAGATATGATACTTGAATAGCAATAATATTTTTGGTATCTACACAGTCCAGCCACACTGACCTTCAGAATCCAGTATAGCTCCAGAACACTGGGATTTCTAGGAAACACTGTATGCTTTTCTATAGAAATTGTCAGATGGAAAACAAAAATACAAAGGCTTTCAATACCTCAGGAAGCTTCTTTTAGTCATACACAGCGTTCTTTTCCACTTCTTCCTGCCCCTTGCCCTTAAACCACAAGAAGCCAGGTAGAATAAGCTATAGAGAACAAACTGTAGCAGGAGGTGCCAGTATGCTGTAGCATGAAATGCTTACAATCCAAAGGCCAAGGCACACAGCAAAACAAGCTGCCACTACTGGTTACTACACCACTCTTTATACTTCTTTCCCACATGCAAAGATGTGTCAAATGAGGTTCTGAACACTAACACATTTGGTTCTTCCAAATCCCTCAAGGCTACTCCTACAATGACAATATGTCTTAAATGCATAGGCAGTACAGAGTTACAGTAATTTTTATGGAGTTGGTTCACATTAACACATTACTGCTGTTTCCCTTACTCTTCCTTGGTTTTCCTAATGTTGGTTACATATGCTGACTGAACCCTCATTAAACAACAAGCTGTTTGGGGCAAGGTTATCTCTTTTCCAGGATTAAGCACACCGCACAGTAACAGACAAGAGCATATGGGGGTTTTATTATTTTTGTTATTACTATTCTGGTACATGTTACAGGACATTCTTCTCAAGGAGGTGAGTGGTATTATTAACTGCAAGGAGAAAATCTCGCACGTACATTCCTTTGGTAATGTTATTTTACAGGAGGAAAAGGAGGAGTTAAAAAATAGGAGGGCACAGAAACATCATTAACTCACAGCAAACGGTCACCTCTTCAGGTACAACAGCAACAGACAACCTGAGAGAAAGAATAAAGCTGGGGTTTAGCACATATTTCACCAAGTGCGTGAAATCAAAACACTTGCTTTGCATTTAAAAAGACAACAACCAAACCAACCCACAAAAACAATCCAGATGCCATGCAGGAGAAGCAAAACTACATTTCTTGGGGGAGTCCACCAGCTTTAAGTATTCATTAGGCGAGATCCAGTATCCACTGAGCAGTCCCAGGAAAAGTAGTTTAGGTAAGTGTATGTGAAAGTGAGACAGGACAAAGTCAAAGCACACTAACTTACCAAAACAACTACAATGCCTTGTTTCTTTCTGTGGGAAACAACTGCCCCAGAAACAAAAGTATTTGTGAAGAGATGCTGCCATTTCAGCCACCTACATGAGCCATTCATGCACAGACTGAGAATCTTCACTGACAATGCCATGTTCTGATTCACACACTGAAAGCTGTTACCAACATTTTCTTTGAAGAAGATATGGAAAATAGGAGGAGCTCAGGTTAGATCTAAAGCAGAAGTTCTTCCCTGTGAGGGTGCTGAGGCGCTGGCACAGGGTGCCCAGAGCTGTGGCTGCCCCATCCCTGGCAGTGTTCAAGCCCAGGCTGGACACAGGGGCTTGGAACAACCTGCTCTAGTGGAAGGGGTCTCTGCCCATGGCAGGGGGTTTAGAACTGGATGATCTTAGGGGCCTTTCCAACCCAAGCCAGTCTGGGGTTTTATGACTCTGTAAACTGGCTTTCTGAAATGACCTGTTGTCCCAAGTTGCCTCTGTAACATAAGGATAAAGCAGCTAAACTCAGGCTTTTCCCACAGTGTGTCACCATAACCCTCTTTACTTTCTGTAAATGTTACAGCTCACCAGATGTTTAGGTTAACTCCAGAGAAATGAAATCATGAGACTGAAAGGGCTGATGAGGAATACCTGTCCCTCCTGTCAAGAAAGAGAATATACAATATATGTCATTTTTCTTTTAAAACAAATAATATCATCATACAGCATCAGTGGAACTCACTGCTATAGAAAGTCACTGAAACAAGAATCTACACAAATGTAAAGGTGGAGCAGATGTTTTCATACCACATCAAGAGGGACTGGAATTGTATTTTTCTTTTCCAAAGATACCAAGCTTTACTCTTCAAAGTTTCAAATAAATCTTTAGCAGACCAAAACCAGGCTTCTTGCCAAGGGAGAATGGAGATTATGGCACCTGCCCCCAAATGAGTTCCTCTGGAGCCTTTGTTGCTCGTAACAGTCAGGATCAAAGAGCTGGCCAAGATGGATGTGAGTGCTAACCCATCATGTTAATCCTTGGATAAGCCTTCCTGCACTGCAACAAACCATTTGAAAGTACTATTTTTAACAGATTGCCAAGTCCTCCCATTCCCAGCTTCATTCAACATCTTGACCACCAACACTATACAACACAGCCTACTGCTCAGACTGTGGTAAAGGTTGCAGAAGAGCATGATTTGATCAGGTGGTGGAAGATACTTAAATACAGAAAAGGGTTCACAACTGTTGAAGTCCTTTGACTTCTCAAAGGAGTGTGATGAGGAACGACTGAGGGACCGAGGGGGGGTTATCTGAAGAAAAGGCTCAGGGGGGACCTTATTGCTCTCTACAACTGCCTGACAGGAGGACCGAGTGAGGTGGGGACTGTCTCTGCTTCCAGGTAACAAGGGATGGGACGAGAGGAAGCAGCCTCAAGCTGTGCCAGGGAGGTTTAGACTCGAGATGGGGACCAATTCCTTCCCAGAGGGTGCTCAGGCATTGGAACAGGCTGCCCAGAGCAGTGCTGGAGTCACCATCTCTGGAAGTACTGAAAAGATGTGTAGTGTAGATGTGGCACTTTGGGATGTGGTTTAGTGGTAGACTTGGTAGTGTTAGGTTCATGGTTAAACTCAAATGATTTTCAATGTCTTTTCCAATCTAAATGATTCTAAAGTAATATAGGCATGTGACACCATCTAGTGTTTTAAGAAGTTATTTTGTTCTGTATAAACAGTCTTTGCTTTCCCATAGCTCACCACTCAACAGTGAAAGCTATCGTTATCCCTCACTGCAAGGTAATACTAATGAATTGCAGGAGTCCACAGTTTAAAAGCCTGATTTTAAGCAATGAATTCGAAGAACCCAAAATCTGCACAGAGAAACCTCAGAAACCACGTGGGTCTGAAGCTCAGTTAAGTCATGGATAGTGAAAGCTTCTATTTCTAATAAAGCCCGTTAAAATGAAGAAGCAACTGCTCCACCTCCCTTGTTTGCAACCTCTCCATTCCTAAATTCTCTTGCTCTCTGTTGCAATTCACTTTGTTCTCCAGCAGTCCCTCCCATTCTTCCCAAACACAACCTTTCCCCCTGAAACTATGACTTTGGGAAGTAAGTTTCAGGAAGAAATGTACAACATCCAAGAATGACAAACTGTCAGGCTCATCAAAAGAATCCTCAGGCTGGCCGGAGTCATACCTTCTAAATGCAATGGTTACGTTAGTGTCCTTTATGGCTTATGTTTAGAAAGAAACATTAAGAATAAGGACATACATGGTAGTATTAGTCTAAGCTAATTCCTATATATAGTTTCTGCAACAAATGTAGGACCGACCTCACAAACAGGTCTGCTCTAGCATACCACATCTAACCAAGGAGCACCCAGATACTGAATGTGACAGAGCAACTATGGAGAAGTGGGAAAAGGGAAGGAAAAAAAAACCCTAAAACAAAAAAAAAGAACTTCTGTACAAGAGAAGGCATGTTCAAAGCAAGCCCACTTTAATATTGCATGGGCAAAAGGCCTCATGACAGACATTGAAGTGCTTGACTTAGTGAACCTGTGCTCTTTTAATGTAACCTTTGAAATGCAATTTTAGCAGCAGCCATGTGAGTAATAGAAACAAAGAAGGGCAAGCTCTTGAGACAACTTTCCTCCCAACCATACTGACAAGGAATGTGTCTTCCCCTCAGGTGATTACATTCACAATACTTGTAACAACCTGGCACTCCTGAAAGCTGTAATAGCTTATTAAAATGTTCAGTGGCTTTATCACTTAACTGACGGATATACGCAGGCATAATGCTGCACCTATACCCAAACATCCTTAGAAAATAAAGCTAAAAAACCTCAAAACCTCAAGTTTTTAGGGGAGCCAAAATAACGAAGCCCAATTTCCCGCACAGTATTGATTCTGCATCTAGGAAGAGCAAACATTGGTTGCAGATTTTCCTGTGGCTCTGGCATTTGTGCGCATTCTCTCTTACGTGAATTCTTTAGTGTACAACATGAGATCCTATTACAGCTTTTTTCCCCTCAGTTGTTGAGATGTTTTCAGGTACTAAGCCACTTGAGCTGCTACCTTCTAACTCATCTTTCATTCCAGCCCTTGGAGAGAATGGACAGCAAGCACTCAGGAGCCAGAGCTGGTTTTCTCCCATTTTTGATAGCTGCCAGAAGCTATCACAAAAAACAGTTCTTCCAAGACCACAGTATTCCCAGAGCAGGGAGAATCTTGGCAGTATTTTTCCACTGCATTCTAGGAAACACACCTAAATCAGAGGTTTTTCACAAGTATAGAATTTGACCACATCCAGGGCAGGGGGTTGGAACTGGATTACCTTAAGGTCCTTTCCAACCCAAACCATTCTATGATTGTAAGGCAAGTATCAAACAACAGCACCCTGCAAACAAGGCAAAGTACAACATGTTACAATGCTACTGTAAAATACTATGGACACTTAGTAGTCAGCAGTAGTCATCTTTCCTTAATGTCACTGTAAAAGTAGCTGTACCAACATAGTTAGCCCTCTTCAAGCAAAAGAACAACCTGGTGCAGGCAGCTGCCAGAGCAAAGTTTGGAAATAACGACAGAGATGTGACAAAGTACAATGGATTGTGCCAGACAGTCTTAGTTGGCACATGAGACTTCACAATATATAGCAAGGGGAACTTTAATGGCTAACTTTATACTTTTTCATACATTAGGAAATTAGACTGCCAAGTTACCACTGCATCATAAAAAAAAACCTTTAACACATATTTAAAGTATAGCCATGACATTGAATGTACTTGCACAGAAACAAGACAGGTTATTGAGAGCAGTCCTGAGGAGAAGCACTTGAGGATGTTGGCTGATGAGAAGCTCCCCATGACCCAGGTTCACTGTGTGCTCGGTTGCGCCACCAGTGTGAGCAGCAGGTCGACAGAGAAGATTTTCCCCTTCCACTGAGCTCTTGGGTCAAGTCCAGCAGAGGCCATGGGGATGCTGCGAGGGCTGGAGCAGCCCTGCTCTGGAGCCAGGCTGAGAGAGCTGGGCTGGGGCAGCCTGGAGAAGAGAAGGCTCCTGAAGGGGAGACCTGAGAGCAGCTCCAGTGCCTAAAGGGGCTGCAGGAAACCTGGAGAGGGGCTTGGGACAAGGGCCTGTAGGGACAGGCCAAGGGGAATGGCTTGAACCTGCCCGAGGGGAGACTGAGCTGAGCTCTTAGGCAGAAGCTCTTCCCTGTGAGGGTGCTGAGGCGCTGGCACAGGGTGCCCAGAGAAGCTGCGGCTGCCCCATCCCTGGCAGTGCTCAAGGCCAGGTTGGACACAGGGGCTTGGAGCAAGCTGCTCTAGTGGAAGGTGTCCCTGCCTATGGGATGATATTAGGGTCCTTTAGAATCCAAACCATTCCATGATTCTGTAATTGATGTATCCCCACATTAAGCAATACGGATGTTTCCATAATCTGGAGACAGTCCCAGCAGGTGTTTTTTTCTCTCTTAAAACCCGAATATTGACAGTAACTAGACGGTGACACCAAGTACTTGATTACGCGCTGGAGCTACACTAAATAAATAAATAAAAAGTAAAAAAAAAATTTGCATATTTAGGAAGAAAAACCAGCACCATTTCACACACACACTTTACAGCACCTGGAACTACCTGCTCTGCTGCCTTCTTCTGGTGCCGGCCTTCCGGGCCCCTTAATCCCCTCAGCCTTACTTGACCCTGGCCTGCAGCGCTCCCAGAAGCCGCAGCGACCAAGGCGGCAGCCGCGCTCGCCCGCATCGGCTTTCACAGCCGGGGCCTCGCACCGCCCCAAGGGGCCTACTCCCCCCAGGCCACCCCAGTCCCACACGGATGCGGCCCCACAGCCGGGTCCCCCTCGCTGCTCCCGCACAACCACTTCACTGCTACCCCACCACCTCCCTTTCCCACCACACTGCGGGCCGCAGCACCGCCGCTCGTCACACCACCCCTTTCCGCCAGAATCCCTGCGCCGCCCAGAGAATAGTCCCCCTCCTCCGCTGCCGCTCCCGTCCGCAGGGGAACTCCGAAGCGCAGCGGTCAGGCCCCGGTGTCGGCGCGGAGAGAATTCCCCTCCACCGCGAGCAGAATCCCTCCGCCGCGCCGCCGGTGCTCCCCCGGTATCCCCGCCTCCTCGGCTAGATCCGGCCGGGCCGGCGCGGAGGGATTCCCGAGGGCTGCGCAGCGCCGGGGGAGGGAGGGGGGGGCGCGAGGGGGGAGGAGGCGCCGGCGCCGCGGTGGCCCGAGGGGGGGGCGGGGAGGGGGCAACATGGCGGCTCCGTATTAACTTCCCCCCCTCGGCAGCCCGCATTGCCGCCGCTCTCTCCCGCCCCCCCCAGGCCCTGCCATGCCGGGCATGATGGAAAAGGGAGCGGAGCTCTTGGGGGGCAGGAGCCGGGCAGCCCCCAACGGCACCAAGAGCAGCAGCCCCTCCAACGGGCACTACTCGGAGCCGGAGAGCGGCGGCGGTGACAGTGGCGACGAGCACGGTGCGAGCCTGGGGCCGCCCGACAGCGGGGGAAGGAGGGGGGTGGCGGGAGGGGCTCCGAGCCGTGCCGTGCCGCCTCCCCCTGCCCGGTGCCGGCGCTGCCGCCGCCGTTCCTCCTCTGCCGCCGCCGCCGCGCGTCTGTGCTGCGGCGGGACGGGCCGCGGGGGAGGTGAGGGAGGGGAGGGAAGGGGGGGGAGCAAGAGGGGGGTGCGCGGGAGCGCGCAGCGCGGCCCCGCGGTGCTTAACGATGGGGAGTGTCTCCCGGGAGCCGCCGCCGTCTCCATTGTTCCGCTGAAATAAACTCCCCCTTCCGCCTCCGGCCCCCTCCCCGCCGGTCGTCGGGGCTCCATCTGCGGCGGCGGCGGGCGGGGTGGCGGCTGGGGGGAGGTGGCTTATTCCGCACGGCCGCGGCGGGGGCTCCCGGGCGGCGCGTCCCCAGCCCGCCCGGGCACAGGCACGGCGCTAATCTCTCTCCCCCCTCCCTTTGCGTTGCAGATGTAGGCATGAGGGTCGGAGCGGAATACCAGGCGCGCATTCCTGACTTCGAGCCCGGTAAATGGCTTCTCGGCTGTACCCTGACATCTTCCCGAGCCGGGAGGGATGGGGTCGGTGCTGGGGAGGGCTGGGCTCGGCGCTCCTCCGGCGGCGGCCGCGGGGCTGTGTTTATGCTGCTTTGCAGCCTTTGTGTTGGCGATCCGGTGCCGGCGGCGGGGCAGCAGCTGCGCCCGGGAGCGGGGGCACCGCGGTGGGAGTATTCCTGCTCGGCTGATGGCGAATTCCCTTCGCTATCAGCCGCGTTGTGTCGTGTCCGGCGGGAGGCGGCGGAGCAGAAAAAGGTTGGATGCTTTTTATTCCCCCCTCCCCTTCTTAAGCCATAGGGCATGTCCTGTGTTAACCAGGTGACTTAAGGATATTCGCCGTGGGGAGATGGATGTTTTCGGGCAGGGGTGGGAAGTGATGCGCCTGCCGGAAGCGGAGCAGACCTGGCTGCGTGCTGGAGGCGCTGGGTGGAAGATGCGCTGGGTGGGAAACTCCTGCCCCTGGTCTTGCGTGCTGTAGTAGCCCCGCTCACCCCGCTGTTGCAGCCTGAGACGCTCTCCTCCGCCTTCCTCACCCCCCAGCCCCGCCCCGAGGAATACTGGGCACGTTTGCATAGCCTAGTCCTTGGTTTTAAGCGAGTTGATGGCTAGAACGCTGCCTTGCGTTACTGCCACGAGCAGTGAGACCGTAGGAGCGTTGATCGGTTCTGCTGTAGTGGCCAGATGAAGCCTATCTACTTTCCTGTTCTCCAAACAGGCTCCATTGGTGTCAGATGATTTCCTACCGGAAGAGGATTGGGCCAGAGCTTCTCACATAAGTGCCTCCTAAAGCTGGAGCGAGCCCCTCTTGATGGGCGCAAGTCCCCACAGGCCAAAGAAAAGGCCGGGGGAAAGAAAGGGGGAGGGTGGGATTAAATGGATGCATGATCTTGGCATAAGGGAATGCCTCTTCCCCGAGAAAGGAGCGCGTAGTCGAGCTCTCTTTGTTAATAAGACTAACCGTTTACACCCGTTATTTTTACGGTGCCTACATAAAAAGAGACATAAATAAAAATTACCCTTTCTAATGTGTAACCCAGGCTTGTTTTTCCTACAGGCTGCTTAAATTAGAAAAACGCAAGAGTTTGTTTTTCTTTTGATTAAAAGAGCTCTTTGCCCCTTTTAGGACAACTGAGGATCTGCGGTTTCAGTTTTGTGAACTGTATCTGCAGTAGCATCATTGCATTTGTACCCACAGAAGTAATTTTATCCTCTCTCATAACCAGACGGTTTAGAGCTCCTAAGTGGTCCTGGGGGGTGAAATTCAACTGATGCTCCTTTCCCTAATAACTGGGATTAATACATACTGCTTTATCACTTTCCTAAATGATGGAAATCTTTCTTGAGGAAGTCATGTGTAAGAGGCATAATGTATAGTAGTGTTGTTCTTAGTGTGTGTTTTGATTATTAGGGCAAGAAGGTGGTAACTATTTATTTTTTGGAACACCCAAGTATTATGGGGAAAAAAAGAACTAAGTCCATAAAGGGCAGAAGTACTGTACATATTTACTGTGTTAGCAGAGTGGTTATCTGAGAGCTCATGCTTTCCCCTTGAGGTGGCATATCTTAGAGATGGAAGTGATGCTGGGCTATAAGAGGTGTTCTCTTATAGCTATACTTAGATTACTTCTGTCCAGGGGGAGCAAACGTAATAAACACTCCATTGTACTCCCATGTTTGCATATATGGGCATAGGCACTACCTTTAACTAATTTAGGTGCTGTTTCTTCTCGTAGTTGCTTTAATGCCTGTTTTGAGGGAGTTTAACACAGGTTTCAAAGTCAGCCCTGTGTTACACACACAGAATACTAAAATGGGTAGAATAAATACCCATCCTTTGGCCTCGCTTAGCCTGTGTTGGAAAATACTCATAAGCAGTGCGTTGAGGAGCAAGACATTGGTGATTAAAGTTGTGATGCTAGTAAACTTTTTTTAACCTGAGTTCATGTATAAAATAAAATATGTTTAACTTTTTAAAGAGAAAAAGTGTTGTATCAGTTGCAAGGGAGGTAGCATTCTAACTGTCACCAGATACTACTGCAATGAGAGAAATTTTCTAACTGCAGAAAGCAGTTTTAATCAAAATCCTAAATTTCCTTAGTTTATTCACTCAGTAAATTAGGTATTGCCTGTACTCCAGGTTCTTAGCTCCCTGCTGGTTTTCCTATAGTACTTTATATTCTGGAGGTGAAATTGTTTCTGCTTGTACTTCCCAACCCACCTATAGATGCAGCAGGATGTTCCAAAGCTGGTATCTTTGTTAAGGGCTGCTCACGTTCTCTTGGGAAGCATAGTGGAGAGTGCCATCACTGCAGAAGGACCATGCTGTTGTGTCATCCACATGTGAAATAACTGCTGGAGAAGTTTTGCTCTGCTCAGATTTGGACTTCCCGAAAGCTTTACTATGGGTTTTGTTTGCTAAATACAGAGGTACTTCTTTCCCATCTGCCCTCTTCTCAGGGGTGCGGAGGGGCTGTCAAGAAGAACACTTTATAACTTTCAGGGTCACTTATGGAGTCCATTTCTGGGTACATCCTTGTAACTTTTCTCCCTCTAGTCTTCCTGTATGAAAATAGGCTTCCTTAAATCGAAGTTATTAAATGGTGAGGTGAAGTACGTGATTTCTTCCACTTACTCCATGCAATCTGACCTCACATTCTGTGATTATTTTTTTATTTACTTTACTTTAAGATTTCCAGTCCTTTATTATAGAAATTTAGTTCTTCCTTCCATTAGTTTTTGTGTTTGTGTTCCTACTCGCAAAGCTTAGCCTTAAGCAGGTGATGATACTTTCTATGCTGGAAAAGATGATGATACTTTCTACACCTGAGTTGTGTACGGAACAGCAGCATCCATGTGTACATAACTTCTAAGGTTAAGCTGAAATTTACCAAGTGTCAGTTTCCTGCTGCAGTTTCCCTATTCTGTACAGTTCATTCAAGTACAGAAACCTCTTCCGAAGTGGTTTGAATGTGGAGTTTGGGCAAAGGGAGACTTGTCATATTTGACATGTAGTTTGCAGTCCTTCTCTTCCTTACTGGCTTACAACTCTGCTCTTCTAATGTGCTCTGGTTAACATATTGCCTGGTATTTCCAGCCACTATCCATAATAAGAATGGAATTTGCAGATGTAGATCATGCTGCCCTTGAGCTAAAACACATACTTTTTGCAGGGGGGAGTGATGCTGACTTGAATACTTGGGGCACAAAGGATAAGAAGCAGTTCTCAGAAAGATAGATCATAGTCCTGCATGTGCAGATGGAGAGATCCCTGGACTGTAGCTATGGACATCCAGTGTTGACTTCCTTGGAGCTCCCCATATGCAGCCCGTTGTCCTCTGTCATTCTTGCTTTCCTTTTGGCAGTGTGAAGATGCCCCCAGCGTGGAAACAGTTGTCTGATCCTACTGGAGGAACAGCAATGCTTCAAAAAGGGCTGTCCTGGTGGGAGCTGTTTGTTAGTCATGTGAGGCTGCGACCTCAGTAGGGGAGTCACATATGCCACTGCATATGTGATCTTCTGCAGGCACAAATGATAGGACCCTGAAACTTAAGGTTTTCATCTAATAATATCCATGGTACCTGCTTGTTTGCAGGTGTCTGTCTGGGATCTGGAAATAACTGAGGGTATACTCAAGTTTAGTTGCTTCTTGCTCACAACCTGAAATTCTGATGCATTCTGTAGTGGTCCCATGTTCATTTCTTAGTTAGAGTGGGGTACGGGGTAGCAGTCATTTACTTCTGATAAAAGTTGAATGAGTGAGAAATGTGAATGTAACATGTTTGCATTACTCTTCATGAAGTATTGCATTTCTGATGACTACAGTTGGCATGCTTTTTTTTTGTTCTAAAGGAGGATGTTATAATAAGAAATTGGTTCTCGCGCACCAAAACCCTTTCAGAGTTCAGTATTGCTTATGCCTTGACACTGGTGCTTTATGACTGTGTCCATTTTTAACTTATTACAGAGTTTATGGTGCATTTAGACTATTTGTCTTGCGTGTCTCATTTTGGAAGACACGACATCTTTGAGTTTAATTACCTGGTTTTCAAGTTCACAGTCGTAACGGATCTGAAGATTACAAAGATGATAGCAAATACAGAAGCCTGCCAAACTAAAGAGGGAAGAACAACCAAACACAGTACCTGATTAGGAAGCACTAAGTTCTCTTTTCCAAGGCATTGATTTGTTTTGTTCTGTTTCCTCCAACAAGATGTAGAACCTAAATATAAAGTGTGGCAGCATAAAATGGAGTGAAAAGTTATTTGTTTCACTAAGGAAAAAAACCAAACCAGTCCTTCTCCAAGAAGGATACAAGGAGAATTCCTGTGAGGGTGACTCCTCAAGGAATTCATACTGACACTACTGTAAATGGTCCAATTGTTGAGCAATATCTTAGCAAGATAAACTGTTAAACAAATAGATTGTAAGAAGCTTGATGCAGTAGCATGTTTGGGAAATAGTAATAAGAAGTAGTTAGTGCTGGTCCAATATTGGGGAGTTACCTTTTTTTCCAGTGTGTGTGTGGTTTTTTAAATCAAAGACAATGATGTAGTGCTTTGTATGAGGTTGCATCAGTATCGCTGTCTTCTCCCGATAGGTTAGGTAACTTGACTGCTTGGCTGGCTGCATTCAGGTGGAGGTGAAGAGCAAACAAAACAAGGTGACCACCCAGCCACCCAGTTTGGTGGGCTGTGAGTATCAGAATTGCATAGCTATGAAAATCAAAACTAGAGACAGATTAACAGTTACTTTGTGCATAGTTGTTAGGATCTTTCCTTCTTGAAAGGTCAGGGATGGTGACCGTGTTCTACCCTCTGTCTTTTTGTCGTTGTTGAGCTTTCATTGTGGGGGGGGTATTTGTTTTAAGGCAGCCTAACTGAACACAGTAGATCTTGATGCTCTGTGATAGTGGCAGATGTGCCGATAGAAATCTTAACTTCTGGAGGACTATTCCAGCACAAGTACCTCTAAATTTTGCAGGCAGCCAACTTCAGCAATGCACTTTAATGCTCCAATTTTGGTAACCATGATCCTGTCTAATAACCAGTTACGACTGAGCCTTGTAAGAGTACTGTTCAAATTCAGCCGTTCATGAAATGCAGTGTCTTAAGGAAATAATGTGGCATTTTTAATGCCCTCTCTCCTCCACCCAGTAGCTAGGCTGGACTTCTTAATGTGGTTGACTTTTATTTACTGTCCTGTGAATAGCTGCTCTCAAGATCATACTTATACTGAGACTTACGTGTTTTCTTACAGGTGCCACAAAATACACTGATAAAGATAATGGAGGGATGCTTGTATGGTCTCCGTATCATAATATTCCAGATGCCAAGTGTAAGTCCTTCCCTGCTTAGGAATTTGGATGCTTAATTGTAACTAAATAATTGTTTCTGGTGTGCCTGTTGATTCTGTATTTTTGCACACAGTCAAACTGCAAATAGTAAATTAAGCACAAAGCTTCTCTTCTATTTTTTATTTAGAGAACTCCATGGAAAGGAAAGATCACCTTCTCTTATTTTATAGTTAAGTCTTTGTTTCAGATCAAAGCCTGTGTTGATCTATCCTCAGTGTCTGTAAAACCTGTAGTTATTAGTAAAAGCATAAAACATCTAAACATGTGGAACTTGCTGCTCTAAACTGCTAGAAGAATTTGCAGTAGAAAAATCCAGGAAAGATGTAAAGGGGAATTATTATTGCTGTCTTATAAGGAAAAACTGAGCATTTCTCCCTTCTGAAGTGATGGGACTCATCTGACTAAATGTGAACAGTTACCTGTTTAATCTAGTTTGAACCTGCCTCCTCTGCTAGAATTTCCCATATGTAATATAGGGGAATAAACTTTGAGGATGCAGTGATGAGAACCTGGTCCTCAAGGACAGTTTCTGTCTGTTACCAGTAGTTAGTAGTGGAAGGAACGTACCTTCTACTGTAGAACAATTAGGAATAAAATACTCTACACCTCTGGTTTCTGAACACTTTAAACTGCAAAAGAAGTTGTGGCAAGGACATCTCTGATCTATTTGAATACTGAGGATGTCATTATTTCCCTTTCTCAGTCGTGCTTCCTTTCAGCTACATTCAGTTGCCACTTGACTGGGAACTGTAGAAGGTGGAGAGCGTTTCTTTACAAATACAAGTTACCCATTGAAGATCAAAACTAGCAGGACTTGACTGCAAAGCGAGGGCAAGAGCCCAACACAAAGCTGGCTTTACTATGGCCAAAGATCACTTAAAAAATGGTACTGGTGAATCTGATCTAATTATTCAGTCTTAGTATTCTCTGTTGAAAACTGACTTTGTCCCATGGTTAAAATGAATGTTGGTCAGTGAAATCTATGAAATATCAAGGATATGCATAATCATTAATCTCGAATCTCTTTACATTAATTTTTAACGTGTTTGAGAATACGAACAGGAGAAGTAGTTCAGTTTAAAACTAAGCCAGGTGTCTGTGTTCTTTGGAGTGGGTTCCAGGCAGACATAGCCCTTCAATAACTAGCTGGTCCTGGATTTAAATAAATGATGAGCCTCTGTGGATTTGTTGTGATAAAAATGTGAAAGACAGTATCTTTTTCGCTGAGAATCAGCTTGTGTAAAAAGCTGATATTAAATTAAAACCAGTGGGTTTATTATTTTAAAGCTATGAATATATGTAAGGTTTGGGGGGTTCTGGGCCTATACAGTGTATTAAAGCATGGGAAGACCATTTTCCCATGATAGATGGCTAATTCTGTGTCACCTTATAGCAGAACTGAAAGTACTAAAGAATTAATTCTGCCATTGCTTTGTTACAGTGGATGAATATATAGCAATAGCAAAGGAAAAACATGGATACAATGTGGAACAGGTAAGTGCCATGCAATGAGAGTGCTCATTTAACGGATCCTTTTGAATGTAAAAGAATAACACAGCTCTTTTCTGTTTACTCTTTTCCCCTTGGTTACCATTAATTAACGCTGTTTCTCTTCAGGCACGGCAGCAAACACTGCAGTTAAATGGATCTGCATACAGTTGTGGTCTGGAGTCTCTGCAAAAGATTGAGCTCTTTGTTTTCATGACATGCTCAGCTTGTAGTGTGCACTTTTGAAAAGGTTTGGTATGTTTCTTGATACACTGGGCATGTCATGCAATTGTGTGTGTGTATCTAGTTAAAGAATTCCCTAGGAAAGCAGCTTGCAGATTTAATGTTTAATATTAGAATTCAAATATGATGCCGTTTTTAACCATTAATGGTGGTAAGGACACCATTGGGAAGGTTTCTTGTATACTTAGAGAGACAAACCAGCTTGGAGTGTTGGGACAGGAAAAGAGGAATTCCAATGATTGAGAATAAGAAACAAGTTCATTTTGGGTTTTTTTTCTAATAACCTTTAGTCACCCTCCTGTCAAAAGTACAGGATAAAACTTTGCTGCTCTGCACTCAGTGCTGTTGTCATTTTCTTCACAAATTAACCAGATACTACTTATCACGAAAAATATTTGGTGTACAAGTGGAAATAAGTTGAACAGTGAAGTTTTGGGTGATGGAAGCTCATAATAGCAATGGCTTGCTGGCCAACTGCTGTCTGAAAGAGAAGCTGCCAGTATTGCGATGTCCAGAATGCCTACAGTTTGGTGGTGCTTGTTTCTGGTCTGGCTTTTATTAGGGGAGAGAGGGAACTGAGGGATCTCAAACTAAGTCTGTGGAAAAGACCGATTTCCAAAATAACTTGTGGAACGAAATCTTTTAAACTGTTCACAGTGGAATAAAAATTGCAAGAGGTTGCTTGTCACTTGCCATTGTCACAAGAAGAGGTTTGTAATGTCCAGGTTATGAGGAGATGTGAAGTCAGGGGTTTAGAGAGCTGATGAACAAGTGGTCATCATGTCTGCACTGTATTGTAGATAGAACCCCAGACTGTTTTGGGTTGGAAAGGACCTTAAAGCACATACAGTTCCGACCCCCTGCCATGGGCAGGGACACCTTCCACTAGAGCAGGTTGAAAGTGAAGAATGGTTGAAACCTGAATGGATTTCATTTCCAGGTGTGAGGCTTGGCTTCAACTCTGTCAGTGATTCTCTGGCAGAAAGTCTAATCAGCTGTAAGAATATAAAGAAATTATATGAGAAAGTGTATTTAAATTTCCATTCCTTATTAGGTGCACATGGCATGGAAATGGTCGTGCTGTTGTCTGTGGATTGGAGAGTTGTAGAAAGAGCACTCTCACTTTGACCTTTCAGACTTGCATTTTGGATGATCCTCTGGCTGCTGAAAGCGTGTTTTTGTTTTCTCTTTTGAATGGGCTGCTAATAAAGGCCCGAAGACCCGTAAGGAGCTGTGTAGGTGATACCTACTTGTAAAGGAAGAAAGCAGGTCAGATTTGAGCCTGTCAGCCTACTTCGTGCTCGCTCACAATTATTGCTGCCATGCCAACCTTAAATTGTCCAGCTTTCGTACCTTTAATGAAGTACAGATGTGCCCGCTCTTCATACTGTCTCCAAAGAGAGTTCTGTAACCTATAGCACATAGTCAACGAAGTTGTAAATACGTTTTGAGAAGGGGTTCTGGTAGTCAAATTTTGGTTTAAATAAATAAATTGCCTTTTTTTAAACTTGTCTCGCCATTTGAGAAAGTTGACTAAATCCAAAAAGGGGCTGTTTCTTTCCAAAGGCTCTCGGCATGCTGTTCTGGCATAAACACAATATTGAGAAGTCCCTTGCGGATCTGCCCAACTTCACTCCTTTCCCTGATGAATGGACAGTTGAAGATAAAGTCCTATTTGAACAAGCATTTAGCTTCCATGGAAAGAGCTTTCACAGGATCCAGCAAATGGTAAAATAATACTTTAATCAGAAGCATTAAACAGTTCAGAAGCTCTAAGAACTGAGGCTCCTGTTGGGTTAAGTCTCATGATTTCTTTGTATAAGCTTCAGGAACAACCGTGAATGTAGGATTTAAGTTAATTTCATCATGTCCCTTGCACCGATAGTTTTTTCCCTCTAATAAAACCTCTTCTTCCCTTCTCCTTTAAAAAATACACCAAATACATCCCTCCTTTCCACCTCATCTGTTCATTTAACATATTTGGATAGAGGTGGTTATAAAGAGAGCAGAATTACAATCTTGGGGTGCGATTTTCATTTTAACATGTATTAATGTATAATGAATTCTTCTAGCTTCCAGACAAGACTATTGCAAGCCTTGTAAAATACTACTATTCTTGGAAAAAAACTCGCTCTCGGACAAGTTTGATGGATCGGCAGGCTCGGAAACTGGCTAATAGGAATAATCAAGGTGACAGGTAAGCTTTATGTTCTTAAGTAGCTAACTAGAGTAGGGATGTCAGGGTAATTTCCATCCACTATGTTTCAGCGTGAACCATATTTTCAGGTCTGAGCATCATTTAGCAAGGGGTTTGGTACCCGTGCTTTACGAGCTATATCACTCCGCTTGTTGGAGTTGTTGTAACGTACTGAAGTGCTTTAATGGATAACTGTTAAAAAACAAGGGTTTAAAAAAAGGCTGGGAATGTGGTTTATGAATAATGCTTCATTTGAGAAGTCTAGCCCTCTATTTCTGTGTGGGGAGTACAATGGTTTTGGGGGTGGGGGATTTTCTGTGGTCTTTTTGCACTAGAATGGAGTTAAAACAGAAAGATCAACCACTATAAAGAGCTGTAGCAATTAGAATGCCCAAATACTAATTTATAACAAAGCTTTACATAAAGTCTTCCTTTAGGAGACTTAGAACCACCATTGGTCAAAGGGAATTAGAGCTGAAAATAGTTTTAAATTGTCTTGGATAGAAGGAAATGATGTTTCCTCTAGTTACTAGGAAATTGAAATTATACTGCACTTATTATACTGGAGTATTAGCTTACTTTTCTCTTTTTAAAGAGATTTTATAGGTTGAATGTATAAGTGACATAATCAAGTTCACGTTGGAAAGTATGCTTTTACATCTTCAGGAAACTGTCTACCTAGGGCAAAAGTGTCTTATTTAATTATGTTATTGAAAAGAACTCCTGAAATCTAAAATGAGTATGCTTACTTGTTGGGACCCTACAGCTGAACAATCACAGAAGAAAATCAGTTTGCTTCTGATACAGCATTTTTTGATCTATTTTTCAATAACTGGCCAGTTTTGTGGTGTTCTTACATTCATTTATTCAGAAATCATGTTGTGTGAATCACTGGATTGGACTTGACTAAACTGTTATCTTTTCAACCTTTCTGGTTTAATTCATTCCCAGTCACTAGATCTTGAGCACTTTGGTGACAAGCAGTCCTGTGTTTTCCCATCTTATGTTGTCCCCTTTTGGTCTGCACAGGCTAATGTGGCAAATGAAAGGTTATTTGTAGCCTTGGTATAGTTGACCACATAAGCGTTCATGCTGGCACAAGTAAGTGGTTGTATTGAAAAAAGGTGACACCACAGTATTTTGGCAGAGCAGTATCACCACTGTTTATAAAGTCATTTTGAAGCTACAGTTTGGGATTGCGTGTTTAGCATTGTAATTATTAGAATTTAATAGAGGAAATATGTTTGTAACAGTTCTCTTGAAAACTACAAGTAACTTTGAGATGCTGTATACTTGGATAATTCTGGCTTACTCTGATACATATTTATATTTGGGCTTAAAAAATAGATAAAATGACCAGCTTCTTATAATATCTCTCCTCAGTGATGATGATGTAGAAGAAGCTCATCCAATGGATGGAAATGATAGTGATTATGATCCCAAAAAAGAAGCCAAAAAGGAGGTAACAGATAGCTTAACGGTGAATGTCAGTTTGTTTGTTTTCTCTCAGTGTGATACCATGAAGAGCATGACTTGCAGTGAAGAGGTTTAGCTTGTAGCCTGCTGAAATCACAGGGGTTTTAGGTGATCAGCATCTTGACAGCTTCTGATAGGTGAAACAACATTCCCTCTGTCCTGTTGAGGTGCTTACAGTTTTACTAGTTAAGAATTACTGAAATCTAAATGGGTTTTTTGTGTTTTAAAATTAAATGATGTTTCTCCAAGAAGAACTTTTTCTGTTCCTTCAGAGCCACAGTGAGGTGGTGCTTTTCAACTAATATGTGCCTTTACTGGAATGCTTCCTACTAATAAATGTAGAGACAACCATTAATGAGCACTTACTGTTAGCTTTACGGCTAAGTGCTACGTTAGGGGTATGCTTAGGTTTTGTTTTTTTGGGGGGGTTCTTTTGTTAAATATTCTTTATGAATAAGACTATAAAACAGCTAAGTGTGTAAATGCCTGTTTCCTTTGTTAACTTAATGAACTTGTGATTTTCCTGTAATGGAACAGTTCATGCTTCTTGAGAATGTGGGAGGAGAGAGTAGTGCAAAACCTCAACATTCCCATGAAGTGGTACCTATGATTATTAATAAAACTTTGCATTTCTATCAGAAATGATGCTGAGTAAGAGTCTGAGAGGTTTAGATTTGCTTCTCAGCTTTGCAGTGACCTTCAATGTATTGCTTTATCTAATGCCTCAAGAAAGGACAATTACAATTACTCCTTTCTGTAAAAAGAGCTTTTTAAGTTTTTTAGCATGCCAGGATATTTCTTTGAAATGGCACAAGGCCTAATAATGGACCTTTTTACATTTCATTCTGCTGGTGTAACAATGTGCTTGCAATCTGTTGATCTGAGTTGCTGCATAAGCCGCTTCTAAATAAGGGCTGTTTTGTTCCATTTACTTCCCTTGGTTATTGGTAGAATTGCTACATGCAGTCCAGAATGAAAGTAGTTTCTTGATAGATTTCTAGGAAAAAAACAGGTTTGCAGTTTCTGATGAGCTGTTTGGATCTGTGTAAGATAATTCTGTGATCTAGTATTTCTGGTAGGATTTGTGTGCTTCCAGTTTCATAGCGCTATATAAACTAGGTGGGTTACTTGAATGTGCAGAGCAATGGGAGCTTTGTTGCCAGAAAAGACTAAAACAAGCCAAATGCTCTAGTTTGGCAAGACAAAAGGTTGGGGGAATATTGTCATCTTAAATCCAGATTGAGCAGACAGGAACTGCAGTTTCGTACTGAAAGAGCAGTGCTGACCCAAAACCCAAATGGCATAAATGGTCCAGAAGTAAACTTAACCTTGGGATTTTTAGATGTCAGAGGTGTAATGCTCTGTGTCAGCTTTACAAAGAAGAGCAAGTGTCTTAAGTGCAAGTATCTTAAATGGCCTCTACAAAGTCTCTGGACTGGATTAAGATGTTACATTAGCTGGGAAGAGAATGTGGCAGAAGGTCAAGCATAGTAGAGCAGGATACTGTTTGCTGATCTGTACTAATACTAGAGAACATTAATAGTGGCTGCTGCAATTTGTTTTCTCTTCATGGTGATCAGATAACCACCTCCTCTTAACTTGCATGGATGCCAGCAGGGAGGAGCAGTAGGGAGCTGCTTGAAGTAGCAAAAAGCCTGAATTCCATCTCTGTTCTGGTACTGAGCATTGCTTTGAATTGGAAAACCCTTGCAGGAAAAGTAATTTCTGCTTCTGTAGCCCTGGTTTGTAGGAATCTTAAATGGTTGCTCTATGGGGGTCACATACATGCAGACTAGCTGTTGTGCAGCAATGCCTACTGAAAACAAAGCTGAATTTTTTAGGTGTCCAAACATGTCAAAACAGCAGTTACAAAGCCTTCATCTCCTCTTTCCTGTCCCTTTCCACTTCAGAAAGCAAACAAGAAACGCTGAAGTTTGCTAAGTTACATAGATTTTTATAATAACTGCCAAAGTACATCCATCCTTTCTCTGCCAAATCTCAAATCCCCTCCCAAAGCAAACAGCACTATCACTTACCATAGAGTGCTTACAGCAGGGAAAAGTGTCATCTTGCATTCTTGCCCTTCCTGGTTGACTCCAGGTCTTCTTCTCCCTTTATCTTCACCTGAACTCTTCATATCTGATCAGAAATAAAGGTGTAAGTTCACTGATTAGTTTGTTTGAACATGTAATATATATGTATTCTTTATCTTCTGCTTATATAATTTTTGCCCTCTTTCACAGTATTCAGGCTGTGTTTTCTATGCCATTTATTGTGTTTTCAGTCATGTTTAAAAAGTTTTAGAAACTGGTCTTTCTAAGACTTAATGCAGGCTTATCCAGCAAATGCTCCATCAGCTCATCTGCAAGTCTTAGCTTGGATGCTACGTACAGAGGAGGATGTTAGCTTAGCTTAGGTTATCTTTGTCATGAATACGACATTAAAATGCTGTGTGATGCTTTATTGAAGTTGTTTACAAGATACTGTTATTCTTTAATGATTTATTTCTTGTAAATTAAAGGGCAATAATGAGCAGCCTGTTCAGACCAGCAAAATAGGTCTGGGTAGAAGAGAGTATCAGAGCTTGCAGCATCGCCACCATTCTCAGCGTTCCAAATGCCGTCCACCAAAAGGCATGTACCTGACCCAGGAAGATGTGATAGCTGTTTCCTGTAGTCCCAATGCAGCCAACACAATTCTTAGACAGCTGGATATGGAACTAATCTCATTAAAGCGACAGGTACCATGGGTTATTGGTCTTGTTTTGTTTTCATCTCAGATTGTTCTGATTGTAATGATTTTGAAGATTATCTGTGAAGATTCTGAAACTTCTTTAATGTGAGTCTTCCTAACTTTGTTATCACCAGAAATGCTGGACGCTACCTGACGAGCTGTTCTTTGGTTATTGTTTTTATGGTAGTAACATGGGAAAGGACGACTTCCTTTTAAAAAAAAGGAAAAAGAGGGGGGGAGTATGGCATGAAAACAATATTACAGGGTTGGGGACAGGAGAAAACTCAAGTGGCATTTGATGTGATTTAACTATTTTAAAAGTATTTGTGTAACAAGGGAGAATAAGGCCAATGTATCAAAGGAAGTGATATTTATTATGCTTAAAACTGTAGCTGTTTCTCTGGATGGCCTTCCCCACATACCATGAGGAGGGTGGGAGCGGGGAAGAGATCATGGACTCAGTTGTTTGTTTGAATCTGAGCTTTCTAACTCTTAACCAAATTTAGAACAGCTTTGCAGTCCTCACCTTTTAAGAGGACAACTGCCTGCGTCCTGTGTGTGAAGAAATGAACTTTTGGCACTTTAAGTTGAAACACGGAATCTGTTCAGCTTCTCAGGGTACTGCAGTATGTGCACGCTTGCTTTCTAGGAGTGATGGGGCTACAAAGTCAAGGCTTATCTCCTGGAATTTCTGCCTCCTTATAGATCGCTAAGAGCTGCCATGTTGCAAAACCATGGAGTGAATAAAGGCTTCCGTGGGGTTTTTGCTCCCTTGTATTCTTTTACAGGAGAAAGATGCTTCTTTCTGTCACAGCAGGACTCGGGGGCTCAATAGCATAGGTGGGTTTTGCTTTTTAGCCTAAGTGTAGGTGAGTTAGAGCCTTGAGGTTCTGTTTCTCTTTTTTTTCTTGCAGTGATCTCAGAGGTGCAGTCTTTGGAATCTCCCCCTGAGTTGTCTGCTTTCGTGTCCATACTTAAGAACACTTGTAATAGCTGTGCACCGTAGTATGCAAACTTATTTTCTTACCTATGTTACCTTATACGCATCATATACATATATGAATGATTTGGAAACTCTCTCCTTTTTGTAGCCCAAGTTATTTTATGTCAGTACTGCAGCTCGTTTCACCCTGAAAGGAAATCATGTTGATCTAGGGTCAATAAAAAGCAGTCTTGTGAGAAGGAACCAACTGGAAACATCTTGTAAACCTTTTTTCCCCCCCTTAAGTGCTTTTTTGGAGAAGGAAGAAGTTCCTGTACGCAGGACATCTCACTTAGGTTCCCAAGAAGCACGTTTTGTGTCTAGAATACTCTGCATCCTTCTTCAAGAGCACACACCCCGTGGTTGTCAAAACTGGCTTGTTACATCCTCCTGCGAACACTCCTGCAGACAAACTGTTCTTTTGAAAGGCTGCCTTAAATATTTTTCTCTCCCTCGTAAACTGTGCTGTATTTTTAAAGTGTATTTTTTTAACCAGTTAAAAGTAGTGAAGCCTTAAACCGTAATATTTCTCTTTCTAACTTAGGAGGTACACTTGTGGCAATCCTAGTGAAGATATATGTGTAAAGTGACCAACTTTCTTTGTGGAGCTGATTAACTTTGTTGTTTTTGACCAAGGTTCAAAATGCTAAGCAAGTAAACAGTGCACTTAAACAGAAAATGGAAGGCGGGATTGAAGAATTCAAACCTCCTGAGGTAAATCACAATAAACACTAGACCTTGTGGCCTTGTGCTTGCATTGGTAGGAAGCTGCAGGAATGTCTCTTGCTGCAGCACAGCGCTTGCGTTTCAGCAGCAGCTTAAGCAGGATCCATTGAGTTACATGCAGGGGTGAGTCTGGCTTCTTTACAGGGAATTAGTGGTAGGCTTTTCTTATGCAACTGGCTGAATAAAGAACCAAAAAAAACCAGAATGCCACGTGTACTCAGGAGAATAGGGAGCTAACATTGAGCCCTGATGTATGGGTTGCGTTGGGGTTTTCTTTCCTGATTAAAAGTAGATTATGTAGATTGCTAGCAGTAAATTCTATGTTCTGTGTGACTGTACATACATTTGGGCATATGAAGTGAATGACTTACTACTACTGAAGTTCTCTTTTGCTTGTTTTAAAGGCTTGCCTATGAAACATAACATGAATGCAAAACCCTCCAGACCCCAAGTCCTAATAGCTTAGAGAAATGCAACTATAAATTCAGATTCTGTCTGCATAAAAATCATTAGCTTGTGCATAAGTTACGGTGTAGCTGATACTAGGAACTGCAGTAAAACAGAGGGAGGACTGTTGCTGTAGTTCTAAGCTCAAATCATTAAATGCTACTTTTTTACCTATGTTGCAAAGCGTAGTGCAAGTAAAACACATTCTGATGCTCAGATGTTATGCAGCTGTTGAAACGTTTTAATGACCTTTCTGCCATTTTTCTAATTTTAATAGTCTAATCAGAAAATCAATGCCCGTTGGACCACAGAAGAGCAGCTTCTTGCAGTACAAGGTATGTTAACAGCAGTAGTAGTTTGAAATCTGATGCAGAGGATTTGGAGAGGTACTCGGGCTTATGCTTGTATTTCCCTCTAATGAAAAGCTGAACTTTATCTGGTCTTACACGTCGGTCACTGGGGAAACAGCAAAACTAGGGAGAATACTTAGGCATTCATTCAAGCAACACGACACTAGTCTTTCAGTTACCCATATCAAATCTTGAATAGAAAAGCTAAGCTGAGTTTAACAGCTGTAGTAGTACCAAAAACGTCCCTTCAATCATCTTCTAAATCACCTTACATTAATTGCTCTAAAGCGGAAGATTGAAGTAATAGTTCAAGTAATAGAACTCGAAGCAAACACTTAAGACATCTCTCTGTATTCTTAAAGCAGAAAAAAAGCAAATGTAAAACTGCTTTACAGCTTAATTTTCTCTGTTCATGAGGGAATAAAAAGCAGATAACGTACCCAGTGGAGGCCTTTTAAGAGTCTAAAGCTGGATATGGATACTTGCCTAACAATTGTACTGGAGAAAAAAGATGTTTCCTAGTAGGCTACTGAAACCACTAATTTGCAGTTATTTCATTTATGTGAAGGAAAACTGACTTGCCTTGCTTTAACATGCTCTGCCTAACATACAAGGGAGACTGGAGAGCTTAACGCTGTCTTCAAGACACTAGCATTGACTCCTATGGATCATCTTTTCTAAGATAACATAATGAGCTCAGTTATACAAATGTGCTTTCTTTCTGTGTATTTTACACCTTTCAAATGAAAAGGCTGAATTTTAGTATAAAACCTTCAGCTGGATCAGGAAATCAGTTTGAAGTTGCCAGGTGTACCATAACTGGTAGTTATTAGCCAGATGACTGAACCTCAGGTTAGGTTAGTTTTGAGCTGCGAATGGAAATGCTGTGTCTGAAGCCAACGTGCTTCAGACACAGCATGTTTGAGGCAACCCTCTCAACATGCGTGCCTCAAACTGGGATTTGCATCTCCAAACTGTTTTCTGTCCTAAGTTCATCCTCTCAGTACTGCCAAAAAGCTGTTGGTTGCTTTTCCTTTTGTCCCCCAGTGCAGCTGAAGGAGATGCCTGTTTTTAATATGCTAGTGTCTAGTAAGTAGAATGTTTGCTGGAGGAGTGGGAAAAGTCCAGGTTCATTGTGCCTGCCTTAGCATAAAAGGATTGAAACCATCTTGCATTTTCATAGTTTAGTTATTGGAGCTCTCACTAAACATCAGTTTGAGAAGTGATAAGAGCGCATTTAGTTTTTGTTAAGCTACAGCACTGTGCAGCCCACAAGGCAGATTATAAAGCTGGAGCATGGACAGAAGAGAATGAGGGTTGGTGAGGACTTCTTGGAGAGGAGTTTTAGTCTTCTGGTCTCTTTATTGAGTGTTTTGTGTTTTATAGAGGTAGTCAGCCTCAGTCCTTAAGGCTGGGGTTGATCAGGCCTTCGGAAGAAACCTATTTTCGTTGATTTTACATGTGCTTGTATGTATTGCTTGCTTTTTAGTCCCCTTCCTTTGCCAGTGTATAAAATGGAGATGGGAAAGAACCTTAACACCAGGAACAAAGTATTCAAAGTCTTCCCACCCTTACCTACTGCCTGGTAGTAGAGTCTCCCTCCTGGAGTGGTAGTGCTGTAGGTATTAACCTCTCGTCCCTCTGGCTAAGGACTCTGCTCTCTTGCTTCAGAATAGATGCTTGAGCTAGCAGACTTCTGCATGAAGGAGCCACACTGCCTTTTGCCTTGCCTGTTCTCAGAAGCAAGTAGCCATGGTTGCTGTATTAAAAGCTACAGTGATGCGGGTTAGGCTTGAACTTGGAGGTTTACTTGAGCATTGGGACATTTAGTTTGTACATTCAAACCAGATTTATTTCATCAAAGTATTGATATGTTTTGGCATACGCTTTTAATAACTGTACAGAAATTATAAGTATTAAGCAGGTAGGTGGCATTTCTGTGATTTGTTCCCTTGGATCCAAGCGCGGAAATGATAGCAATGATTTGCAGTAATACAGTTTTGGTACTGTTTTTCCTAAATGTGAAGAAACTCCTATCATCTGTGGGCTAATCTCAGGAGATTGGCAGTAACCAAAGAGGAGGGAATGGAAAACCCACCTTAAAATAGAGCTGAGTGTCTAATCTTAAAAGCAGTGTGGCTGCCTGCAGTGGGGTTGTGGACTCAGGATCTCTGAGCTGATCTCCTGCACTATAATTTATCAGTCACTGTTCAACTTCCCCTCAGTAGTCATTGAATGTAGTGGGCCAGTTCGTCACTTGAGGTTTTGTTCAGTTACAAACCTAATTCACATGTAGAAATGTATAAGTACAATCTTTTCAAAGTAAGACCTCGGCCATATGAAAATTGCAATTGGACAAATGTTTTTAAACTCAACTAAAACAACAAAATTTAAACTGAAGGGCACTGCAGTGGAAAACAGTTGGGACAACCAGGATCTAATTCTAACTCGTAAGAAGCACTCTAATCCCATCACAGTGAAACTGCATCTCTCGTAACCCAGAGGCTGCCTGTTTCTGCCTTGTTGCAGGGCAGTATTGTGTTGCTTTGGGCCCAGGCTGAGGCTTTCTGTGCCTCTCATTGTTTGCTGTGCTGCACAACATTAAGAAGCGTAGGCAGTTTGGATATATGAGTTTCTCCAAGGTAGGCACACAAGATGAAACACTGGAATAGTGAGCATGCACATGATCAAGTACACCTTTTGCAAGTGGGTGAAGCTTTGAAGAGCTTGGAGGATTCCCATGATTAGGGCTACTTTCAAATGAGCTGGGAGAAAGACATTCACACATGTGAAGCAAGGCTATACAGTTGTCTTGTTTTGAGCTGCACTTTCAGCAGCTGAATAAAATTATTCTTGTGGATAACAGGTTAAGCACCTTAGAAGTACCTTTGCATGGTGCTTAGGACAGAACTTGTATAAGGATATGTAAGTAACGTGCACCCATTTGAAAAGGATGATGGGTTGGCATCAACTCTTACACATATGCCAGCACCTTATGCATCAAACTTTCATAAACATGTATGGAACTTTCTCTGTTCCTGATGCAGCTTAAAAGGATTTTGCTCCATCATTGTGGTGATGTAGTCACTGCTGATGCTAGAGCAGTACTAAATAGCGCTTGGGAAAGAATCCAAAGTGAGTAGTGCTGCGTGTAGCTAAACCAAGGAAATGTTATTTTCTTTAGATACATCTCATAGTGAAGGCAAGATAGACTGTTCTCAAGCTGTTGGCTTGGGAATAGGCTTTGAGACCTTGTTTTTGACAACTTTAGTTGAAGTTAGCAAGCAGGCTCAGTCGTTTTGCAGTTCAGGGGGAAGGAAGAAGTATAGCCAGCATAGTAACAAAGTGCTGAAAACACTAAAAATCAGAAGGAGGTTTCAGACAAAACTGTATTTTGTTTTGCTGGGTGCTTTGTTCACTTGGTAAATTGCACAGGATGTTAGATACGTTGCAGTGGCAATTTAACGGGCAAGTTAGTAAGGGTGGTAATGGTATGAAGAATATTCAAACACTGGAGGGAGTGCTCCGTGGGCGCACACAGCTTCTGAGGAGTATAGCTCATACCTTGTACAACTGATAAAGCACAGAGCCAAGTCCCTGTCTGCTTTGCCTAGATGCGTGCCCTCCCACATGGCTCTGCTAGGTCCCTTTGTTTTCTTTCCAAGGTTCTTGCAGTCAGGATGGTTGGATTCTTTTGTATGCCCCAGAAAAGATCTGAAATGATGTAGCTGGGCTCTTGACAGCTGAAACAGCTTCAGCTATATAAATTGTTCCGATCCTGGAGCAGAACTTCTCCCTTGAATTGCAGTGAGTGTACATTACCACGTGAGAAGTGCCCGTTAATGAGGAAAGTAGCAAAGAGCAGAAGAAGCTGAAGGCCAGACTTTCACAATTCAGTTGAAAAGGAACGTGGCTTTCAGATTCGAAGCAACTCTCACTTTCTGAATCCTTTGCTTCACTTTCTGAAGTGAGGCATGAAATCAGGCATGAATTTCTTTTCCTGTAATGAGACAGAGTGCCCATCCTCTGAGCGCTGTAATATGAATGAGCTTAGTTATCAAGAGCTTTCACAGAACAAGTCAAATTGTCACTCATGCATAGCTGAGAGCAGAAAATGAGACTTCTGTTTACTCAATCTGGGATTTCCTTTATTAGTCTCCACATTTTTGGATGCTTGTGATTAAAATTATACTTCGTGCAGCCCGAAGCTGTGTTCCGGGATGGTGGAGAGTTTGAGGGCTTTTTTTGCTTAAGCAGGAAGAGGAGGATCTAGATACATACCCTAAATACAACTGAGAAAATCAATAAGCTTGTTACAATTCCAACTTCAGGTTAAAAACTATGGAATGTGGTACTTGAGGGGGGCTTGTAGGTTATGGGCAAATGTAGTTTTAGAACTTGATGTGTTGGGATTTTCTTGTGAACAAGAGCGACCTACTGATGTCAATATGAAAATGAAGTAAGAGCGATGTAAAGATCTTCTTTGTCCTGGAGGCTTGTGCTGGGCTGCCTTATAAATACACATCAATAGCTTATATATTTACTTATATTCCCCAAGGTGGTTGTCCTAAAATCCCAGTCTTCTACCCAGCTCAGATGGTGAATGAAAGCCTTACAAAACCTTTGCCAGGTGAATGCTTGCTAGTTGCTCTCCATAGCCTCAGTAGAGCATGACACAAGTTGGGGAACGAGCAGTATATCGTGACTTATGGAACTGTGCCCCCCGTGTTTGCTCCAGTAGCTGCTGCCCTCTAGCACTCCTGCTGCACAGATTGTGGGCAAAGAAACATCTGTGTGCAGCTGGCATTGAAGGAACCTGTAAATGCTGTTGGTGTTTGTCCCTTCACATTTCTAGTGTTACACCCTGCGCACAGCAATGCATACATGCTCAGTCACCCTCCCTCTCCATCTTGAACTTGTCTTGGGCTTTGCCCTCGCTGCAAGCATACTGAAGGATATACTTTGTCTGTCAGAGGCCGGATCTCTGTGGTTTCAGGTTGGGAGGCTTGGTGAGTAAGCCAGGATCCTTAAGTAGAGTGGGTAATAATGTTTAATAAAGCTCTTGATCTGTATGTTGATAGCTGTGCAATTAAAACTGACTTTGTTTTAATGGAAATTGAGGCCTTCTCATAATTGAGAAGTCTTCCTAATTAGCGAGTCCTTGGTTTGCAGGTCCCATAGGTTCTCTCTATAAATACATCACACGTAGCTGTGTCTGACTGATTCTTCACAGCTATGTTATTTACTTTGCCTTCCAGGTGTCCGAAAATATGGTAAAGATTTTCAAGCTATTGCAGATGTAATTGGCAACAAGACTGTTGGCCAAGTGAAGAACTTCTTTGTAAACTACAGGCGTCGGTTTAACTTAGAGGAGGTATTGCAGGAATGGGAAGCGGAACAAGGAACCCTGGCTTCTAATGGTGATGCTTCTGCTTTAGGGGAGGACACAAAAAATACTTCTAATGTACCATCAGGAAAGAGCACTGATGAAGAAGATGAGGTGTGTTTTGTGTACCAGAAATAAGTAAGCATGGGTTGAGGAACAGCATTTATTTTAGTGATGTAATGTAAGGTTAACTGGTGTGGAGTGGCAAACCGCATTCTAAAGAATGATGATGAGCTTGCATAGAACTTCAGCCAATGTCGTTAACCAGCTGGGAGCAGGACTGCACCTTTCATAGTGACGATCACGTTACTGTTTTACTGTTAAAATACACTTCTTGTTCTAGAAGAAGAATCTTGCTTCGTAAATGTTTTTAGTTCTGCTGTCTGTAATATTTTGGTTGGTGATTTCTTTTCGGTAACTTCTCAGTTTTTTGGTTTTGTTTCTTTTAAATGCTGTTTCCTGTGTAGTGGACAGTGGCAGCCCAAGTGCATCATGTTCTGGCTGGGATGGCAGTTCACGCAGTCTTGTCTTTGTCCTTTGTGCAGGCACAAAGCACTCCGGCCACTCAGTGTTTAGGCCCTTCACCTCCAGCACAGGCATCTGCTCCAGCACCTACCGCTCCCATGGCAACTTTAAACCAGCCTCCCCCGTTACTTCGTCCGGCGCTTCCTGCTGCTCCTGCCCTCCACCGGCAGCCTCCGCCGCTCCAACAGCAGGCACGGTTCATCCAGCCCAGGCCGACCCTAAACCAGCCTCCCCCACCGCTCATCCGCCCAGCTAACTCCATGCCTCCTCGTCTAAACCCACGGCCCGTGTTAAGCACGGTTAGCGGCCAGCAGCCACCCTCGCTTATTGGAATTCAGACAGAATCTCAGTCCACTCTGCACTGAAGAAATACAGCAGAATTCTGCTAACTCCTGCATCTGCAACATCAGATCAGTGTACTTTTCCTTTCCTTTGGGTTTTTTTTTCCTGTTTCCAAACAATGAAGGGGAGAAAAGAGCAAGCCTTCACAGCTACCTGACCAGTCCTACAGAGGAGCAAGCCAATACCTACACGGGAATGACCACCTGTATAAAAGTATTTTTATGTCAGACTTGTACAGCAGAACAATGCCTCCAATACAGCCCTCCTCTCTATGAATACCTGTTGAAGGAAGCTAACTTCTTCAATGAATAAATGTTCAACACACCAAGATTTTGTTTAACTGATTTTTACTCTATTTATTTTATTACAGGTCTTTGTAGTCGAGCATCTAACTACAGGGAAGTAGCCTGGCAAATCTAGGGATAGATAATATTGTAGGAGACTTAAATGTAGCTTGGGGGGGTTTGTTTGTGTGTGTGTGTGTGTGTGTGCGTGTGTGTGTGTGTGAATTTTTTGGTTTCATTTTTTACCTTTTAGTGCAAAAAAAAACAAGAATGGCCTTAGGTTGAGAAGTTTTGGCCCTGTTTAGGTAACGGTAGAAGCGTTTTGCGCACTTGGATAATGTAGGTGCTGCTTCTCTTTGTGTTTTTCCCAGAACGCTTTTTCTTGTTTAAAAAAGGTACTGTCTTGTTAAACACTCCTCTTTGAAAGAGTATTCTGAAGCCTCAGTGAGCTATTGTACCAAACTTGCTAAACCTCACACGTGTTCTACTCATGGAAGTTAACTGAAAGCAGGAATCCAGGTTCCTGCTGCAGCATCTCCTGTGGGCTGGGCTGGAGAGGGAGGCAGCAACTTCCACCACCCAGGGGGGTGACAGGAGAGGAGCCATATAACAAGAACCATTAATTAATTTATTCCACTAATTCTTCTAATCTGATTACAGTAGAATTTAACTCATCTGAGAATGGCTGCCTACAGTTCATGTATGCTAGATCATTGCTGCCTGCCGAAGCATTCATGAGGGAAGTAGGGAGACTGGTGCTGGCAGTTGAATATTGTGGCAGCAGTTACCTGCTGCCAGCCCACTCTTGCTGTTAAATCATTATCTCTGATTTCTGCTGCTTCCGGCAGGTTGAAGTTAGTGGGGGGGTTCTTTGCTTTGTGTTACTGACCAAGTCAAACCTGCGTTTGGGTATTAGTGCTTCCAGACTTTAGGAGGTTGAAAGGTTTTCTTCCCACCGCATTCTTGTCTTAAGCTTTGAGTTATGCCCAGTGGTGTTTTGGGAGTGGGGTTTTTCAGTTCTTTGTTCAGTCTGTTTCTTCTTTTAAGTAGGTGCCTCTGCCCTCCAAGTAAACCAGGCTGCTGGTCTTGAGTTTGGAAACTGTGTGATCTGAACGAAGCTACTGAAAAACATCTCATTCTGGAGTATGTAATAACATTCATGTTGACTGCCCTACTGTTTGGAAAATTAGTTTTGCTCATAGCTGAAATGGTGTTTGAAAACCCTTTTAAATCCATTCTGTTATTAACTAGATTTGCCTTCACTAAAATGGAGACTTTACTTGAAAGTGGAATGTGCTCTCCCTAGGCTTTTCACAGATAAATTGGATCATTTAATGATCAGTTTAGCGGCCGGATGAGGTCTTTTTTTATGTGTGAAGGGAAGTTCTTACAGCATCAGATCCTATTCCATTTGTAAGTTGAGTATTAAGGTTTGATAGCTGTCCCTGAATTGCAGTGAAGGTATTGACCCTTATAGTTTAGTTCTTCGTTTGAAGATGTTTTCAGATGAAACTGGAGAGATTTTTCTTTCTGAACAGCTTTCCCTGCTGTGCTGAGGTCTCGTACAAAAGGTCCTTAGACGTTTTCTTTTGCATCAGAGTAGCAGCTTAGCCACTACGTGAGCATCAGATGGCCAAGAGAAGCAGCACTGTACAACAAGCACTGAGGAATTCGGGGTCACTGCAGCTTGTGTTCTGGGAGTCATAAGTGTCTCCTTGTTAGCTACACAAAGCTGGCTGCTCTTCAAAACCAGTCTGCTTCCTTTCGCCATCCTTAGCATCTCAGTTTAACTGTTAAGAGTGGTAAGGTACATCTTCAGGTTTTCTTCTCTTGTCTTGTCTGCCTTTCTTTTTAGCATCGGGTCTCCCAGGTGTGTGTATTGTACCTTTGCTTATTTTTGTCTCGTCTCTTGTCTATAGACTTCGGTATGCAGAACGTTGGGTGTTGCAGGAGCAGTTGGCCACCCCCAGCTGCTCCAGAACTGTTCGGTACCTTGTGATTCCGTTTAATCTTGTTTAACTATTCGATGACTGGGCAAAGGTGCTGTATTTGACGGGGGGAGGGAGGGTCAGAGATAGGTAGTATTTCTTAATTTCCATACACTGTAGCACACAGTAGGGAACTCCTAGCATTTGTAGTACCCAGTAAGTATGTACATAGCAAAATGTCTTTATTGTGTGCTTTGCAGAATATGTGCATACAGTTTGCACGTCCTGTTTTTGGGGGGGCTACAGATGAGGAGGGGGTAGGTTGGTTTTAAGCAGTGTCTGCCTGGAGAGTGATATGCTTGCTGCTTAATCAAAGGATTAAAGTTTCAAAGAAATCTGTGTCTTCTATTTTTATGTACCTTGTAATGGTCTGATATGTTAGGGCCCTTATACTGTGATTCTCTTCGAAATTCATTTCTATTTTTTTAAGAATTAGAAATAAAATTATACAACGGTGTTGATTTCAGTGGGGCATTTCTTTTGCCATCTCCAGTCGCCTGTTTTGTAATGTAGTGATGACCTCTTGACTTCGAGGTTGGCTTCATTTTGTCACTTTAAAGGAAAAATAATGTACAATGTTTGCACACTAAAGCTTGGCCGAGAACGTGTACCCTACATTGTTCAAAGCTAATGTAACTCTACAGCTTTTTGTACAGTTTATTTTAGTTAATAAAGCAGAACGGTACTAAAAAAAAATGCCAGATTTTACAAACGCCAAGGCACAATCTGAATGATGTCTTCTAGGAGCAACACTTGCACCATATGGATGTACAAGAACTGTCCCCTTGGATTGTTGCCCTTTAAATCAGAATGGGTATGAAGTTTAAGCAAGTATGTCTGCACTAATAAAACATCACATGTCATAGTAAAGCAGCTTAATTTGTTTTAGAGTTGATGGTGAGCAAAAGGAATTACAGTTCCCTCTGTCCTTACTTCATCTTTTATATTGTTGGGATTTATCCTGGCACCTGCACCAAAACCCAAACCCAAACAGTAGCTTATAGACAGGGGAGTTTGTGTGTGAATAGCACAGAGCTGCAGCCATGAGGATGAAGGTTACCACAGCGATGCTGTGCCTCCTCCTAGCACCAGCAAGGAGGAGGCTGCAAGTTGCAGCTGATGCTAGGCAGAAGGATGGAGAAAAGCAAAGCCAGGGTGCCAGGGCAAGGACAAACAGCTTGGAGGTGTTGGTATAGAGGTGTGTTTCCAAATGCAAAGGGAACTGTAGAGGAGTCAGCTCTGTCACAGCTCCAGTGCAAAACCATGCACTGGGGCCTGCCCTGAGAACAGCTTGCTGGTGTTAAAGTGAGTGGTGAACCTCCAGCTTTTCCTGAGGTGGAAATAGCTGAACCTCAGAGTCTGCCTTTCTCTGGGCAAGCTGAAAGCAGGCACCCTTGCGATAGGCATCTGCTTTAAGGTCACAGGAAGTTGTGTGAGAGACGCACAAGGCAACTACGAACTCTGTAACACCACTTGCAGTCTGTTACTGACAAATTTGGCATCAAAAAGCTATAGTCGGGGAGGGAGGAGAGGCAGAACACACAGGCAACAGCATCTGCACTGTTTAAGAAGCACATTGCTAACTTTTTTGTGACAGACATCCTTAAAATTGATACTGAAGCACAGACACACGCACACTGCTTCATTTTCAGCACTAGCGAAGCCACTGCTTTGCAATTCCCAGTTATTCTTTAATCATAAAGCGTTCTCAGCATAGTTTTGTACACTGAAATAATCATGATAAACCCACGTTGTTACTGACTTGGAAGCTTGCCCTTGGACTGGCACAAAAGGGAGCACGGGGGTTCAGGGATGGTGATCCCTGCTGCTGCCCCAGGGATGGGACTTGGTCACGGTGCAAACGAGGACTCCTGTTGTGCTCACTGGATCGTAATAAAACAGTGATTGTAAAGGTCATGCCTGCACCCCAATATGCGGTGATCCTTTCAGCAGCTCCATCCTGGGGAATTGTGAACCAGCAACTTGCGAACCAGATCCCATCTCCAAACTATTCATTTACGCTTATAAATATTCACTTAGGGAAACAATGCTGTCCTGGTGGATGCTCTTGCGAGCTTCCTGACCAGGCAGTACCCAGGCTGGCCAGGATATCCCTTAAAGCTTTGCAAGAGGGAGTGTTTTGAAAGCTCTCTGTTGCGGGAGCAGCCTTTACACCTTTGCTGGACTCCCTAAATCAACGGAGGCTATGGTCTGACGCCCTTGGCAGTGGCAGGTCTGAGTCGCTTTAGCAAAAGCATCATCTTTCTGAAGCCATTCTGTTACTGTTAGTACTTAAGACAGCCCAGGTAACACAGCCCCATTGTTTCTTTTCCATCTGCCTCAGTGCTTTTCGTGCAGGCTGTTTTCCTTACAGCCTGGTTTTCCTAGAAGGAGTTTCATATGGAAGACACGACAAAGCGCAGCGGCAGCTGATGGGCAGCGAGCAGTGAAAACCGCATCGCGCTGTTGGCTGCAGGATGGCTGCGTTGGCAAACACCCCCTCGGTACGTGTTCGGTTAGCGGTAACACCGACCGCCGGGTGGTCACGGCCGCTGTGTTTTCAGCAGGGGTCCGCTCGCTGTTTCAGTGCCGTCGGTGTGCACGGCAACAGAGCTGTGCCTGCACCGGCCGGCGGGGGCAGCGGGCGGAGCCCCTCGCCACGGGCCCCTCCCGGCTCCGGCTTTCACCCTCCTGCAGCGCCCTGCGGTGCAACCGCCGCTTCCCCCGCGACACCGAGCGCGGCTCCCGCCGGCGGCACCAGCGGGGGGCGGCGGCTCCAGCGCTGCCTTCGCCGCGTCCCCTCCCCTCCGCTGCCGCCGCGCACGGAGCCGCGCCCCGCGCACCCAGGGCCGGCCCCGCACCGCCCGCGGGCAGCGAGCGCCGGTGCCGGTGCGCGGGGTCCCTGCTGCCCGCTCCGCCAGCGCGGGTCAAGGAGGAGCCTGAACTTGGTGCCCGCCGGAGCCCCCCGCGTTCCCCGGTGCGGGCTGGCCGCGGGAGCCCCTCTCCCCTCGCAGGACCCCGCACCGGAGCCGCGGGGAAAGGTAGGCCCGGAGCGC